TTTGAATCTTGACTTAAATTCGTTAAACTTGTAGTGTAGAGGGTTACTGATAAAATGGTTTATTATGAATGAAAGAGGAGTTGGTAGGAAGTGAAGATAAGCAGGATCGATAATGATTGACCTTTTACTTTGTGATATTTAGGGAAGCAGCCAGACAATTGTGTGTTCTGCAAAGTTACTTGGAAATTGTTGTTTAAAGACTGGTTCCTCTTTGAGGTACGCGGCCCTTGTTGTCCCAGATGATGGCCGATCCGGTATGAAAATTTGTTCGTAATCATTGAGATTCGTAAAATTTTGCGTTTTAACCTTAAGCGCCAAAGGTTAATTTTGTTCAAGTTACCAACTCTAGGACGACAGTCGGAGAAGACCAAAGAAATCGTCCAACCCATGACTACCGATGGGGGACTATATTCATATATCCACTGTTTATTATTATTATTATTTTAATTTTATTTCCTTTGATTTCTGGTGTGCACACATTTCTTTCCGGGTCCCGCCCATGGACCTAAGGTTAGAAATGGCATCATGACACTTTCCACTGACAAAAAAAAAAAGAAAAAGAAAAAATTACATAGATAAAGCCCTTCGTAAAGTGTGGGCTGTACTTGTCAGAAGAATTTTTTGTATCTTCTTGAGGCATGGACTTCCATGGATACGGGTTTTGTCTACGTCAGCTTGTTTGGTACGGGTAGAGTATTGGCCATGAAGCGTTTTATCTTGTCATCGCTTCTGTATCTGGTCGGTTGCATTTGTCTTTACTGTCTTTTTTTGCAAAGTATTTTGCAGTTTCAGCCGGTATATTGTGCTGTACTTGCGTTTCTGCGCCCATTTGAAACTCCATTTTGAATTTGTTGACTTCTTTTATTACGGAGTAAAGACGCTTACTACTTTCATGTTCCTTGACACATACCATCACACAGTCTTCTGTAGTTTCCAAGTATCTTTGGGGGCCAATTGTTGTAGATTTGTAGGACAGTTCTAGTTGAACTAATCCTCTGCCTCATTCGGATCTGGGCACATACAGACGATCAACATCAGCTTTGTGATGATACATGCGGTAGCAAGTGAGAAGCTTTCTCGTTTTGGCGTCTATTCGCTTAATTTCAGCTATGGTCTAGTTAAGGACATTAAAGCTGTATTGCACCACAGGGACAGCCAAGGTGTTTATGGCTGATATTCTGTTTTTTTAGTTTAGCTCGGTATTTAGTACCAGACGTACACGCCTGTAGTACTCCTTTCTTATTTTTTCCTTCATTTGCCATCTCCTTCGCTAATTCCTAGGTACTTATAAGCTTCATCATGCACCAGTTCCCTAATCTTTGTGACAAAATCTAAATCTATTAAGGGTGTTTCTGTAATTCTACCTTTCTTGAATGTTACCTTTGCACATTTATCTAATCCGAAGTCCATACCTATGTCATCACTGAAGTATTTTACAATATTAAGGAGGCCGTTCGACTCATTGTCGTCTTTGGCAAAGAGTTTGAGATCATCCATGTAGAGTAGGTGATTGAATATTTTCTTATTTATTTTGTAACCATAGCCACTGTTGTTCAGTTCATGCATAAGAGGGATTAAGGACAAACAAAACAGAAGGGGTGACAGAGAGTCTCCTTGAAAGATTCCATGTCGGATAGTTAGTCGGTTTGATATGGCAGTGCCCCTGGTGTGACGAAGGTATAGTTTGGTGTTCCGCATTCCCATGCTGTGCTTAAGGAAATTTAATACCACAGGGGAGACTTCGTACATTTCTAAAGTCTTAAGGATCCAAGAATGTGGAATATTATCAAAGGCTTTACGATAATCAATCCACGCTGCGCTAAGATTTCTACGTTGTCTCCTGCAATTTTCCAGGATCATTTTATTTATCAGTAGTTATTATTATTATTATTATTATTATTAGTCGTCTTTTTTTTTTTAATGAACAGAGTAAAGGGCACGGACTGTATTATCCGTAGTATATCTTCTTTTATTATTATGACAATGGTCAACATCATCAAACAATGCCTTTTCTGCTGGTTTTAAACCCGCATTAACGCTTCAAACAGCCGGCAGTGAATGTCAGCTTAAATATTTGCCCGCTTTCGTAACCCCGGCTTACCGTGCGAAAGAGGCAGGGAAGTGAGAACGAGGGTCCCATTGATGACCTTTCGCACATGAGCGTGTCGACGTAGTTTCTCTAGTCCAAGGCGTAAATCTGCCATTAACCTACATTTGGAAATTCCTACAACAGCTGTTGTGACGAAGCAAATAAAATCGGAAAAGCGATAGAAGCCGTTGAAAGAAGATAGGCGGGAGTAAGTAGTTTCGTTCGAATGACCTGCCATTAGATTTTCAATATGTGAGACTTAACGCAATGGTTATAGCATAAAAATAGGGCATTTGAGGACGTCTCCCAATCAATTAGATTAAATGAATCTGTCAATGGCGGGTTTGACTGGAATATATTAGGTTAAATTATACGTAATTTCTACTAATGGGAACCAATTATAATGTCGAATTTATCATCCTCGCTACTAATCGTACATAGCAACTAAGACTAAATTGGTTTTACACTAACATACGATAATGTTCATAGTAATAGGTAGTTGATTGATTCATTTAGAATTCTTAAAACTCAATGAAGCATTAAATGCACATTTATACATCCATCAGCTGCCACGGTCCATAAAAGTTTAGTCAAAAAACATCTTGCGCTCATCAATATGAAAATATTACCAATGACAAAGCAAGGACGTATACAGCAAGGATAACGTAGTTTGTCTGATCTAACTCACCCACTATATTCACCTTCCCTTAGATCAGGCATGGACAATCTTTTTCGAGCAGTGGGCACCATGATCCATGGCTCGTCACAAGGCGGGAAACTATTAAAAAGATTCAAGGTAATTTTTTCATAGTAGCTACTTTAATTACAGATGATCATATGCGTAATTATATACCTTAAAAATGTGAGGAAAATTTTATTATTTAGGAAAGGTCTTTTTATAATTAAAAAATTGAAGTCTTGGTCCAATATTATCGCTGATGAGTGTGATTAACACATATTGATGCGTGTGATTAATTTCTAATTAATTAATTAATTAACTAATTAGACTGCCCCACTGTTAAAAAATAAGTGAAAATATCGGGGAATAATATTCATAAGTTAATATTCTTCAGATCTTCCTTAAACCGCAACATTTGTTAGAAATGGAAAATATTCTCTTTTCTATCGATTTAAAAAAACGATTATTCATAAAATCGATAGTGTCAAATATATTACTGAGCTTCATGGAAGAAATTTAATGTTGGGCATAACGTGCCATCGCCAGGTTACTATTCATTTAGAATGCTTAAAATGCAAGGAAAAATTAAATGCACATTTATATATCCATCAGATGCAACGAGGCCATAGATGTTTAATTCGGTTTATCTGTTCTAATTCACCCGCCATATTCACCTCCCCTTAGACCAGCCATGGATAATCTTTTTCGAGCAGTGGGCAGCATAATCCATGACTCATCACAAGGCTGGCTGCTCTACTAAAAAGATGCAAGGTAATTATTCGTAGAAAGTACCTCAGATATTTTCACTACAGAAGACCATATGCGTAAGCATATAAATTAGAAATCGGTGGAAAGTTTGTTTTTCTTAGAAAATATTTTTATAATTAAAAGATTGAAGTCTTGGTCCAATATTATCAAAGATGACAGTGTGATTAACACATATCGCTGTGTGTTATTCATTTGAAAAAAAAAAATTTCTTCTTTAGAGAAAAATTCTTATGAACGTATCCCGTTTGAAAAGCAAAAAATGTTTACACGTATGATCTTCCTTAGTGAAAATCGCCAATGGGTTAAAAGGATGAAAAACATTACTTTCGCCAAAAGTTTACAAAATTCAAGGAACATTGTACTTAACAAATGTTTAGGTGTGTGGTTATGTATGAGAGAATGTGTGAGTGAACAAGTGAGAAGGAAACAAAATAAAGTGAAAAAACCCTTATTTCCCATATGAAATTAAGTGTACCATTCAGAAGGACAAAACGGGCCGCAGTTTGCCCATGTCTGCCTTACACCAACCAATTATTATACCCAATCGTTAATCTGATTCGAAATAACGCTACATTGAATGTATAATGTAATTTTTTCCAGTAATGTTCGGTTTTATATTTAAAATATTGCAGTTTGCGTCAGAATTTTTAACATCAGGCATTACTTACCGTTATTATTACTTACCTTTGGGTGATTATTCGAATGATTGTTATTATTATCACTGTTGGAATTTTTGGGTACCCTGGTGTACTAGTGAGCCAGCCAAAATGAGCTGACTCATTTTATAGTTCACCAATAGAAGGGTTAACCAATCAGAAGGCTCAAAATATTCAATGCAACGTGTATAAAGGCAGCCATGTTTTTCCCGAATATTCACTCCCAGCCTTTGATATCGTAGACTGAAAAATTACGGAACAGCTGCTGGTGGTATTGGCGATATAGTCAGATTCAGTAGAGTGTCTGACTCGTGAGTTTTAAACTTTAACGTTGTTTCATTGAACAGATTACGTACTGCGCTGTATTCTATATTCATAGACTATGGTGAAACATGGTCAGCAATCACAACGTTTCGATTGCTGGACCAAAAGCCTTTCTACAGGTGTCGGTCGACAGGTATTGAACAATATCCTCTATTTAGTTTGTCCTTATCTCGTTTTATTCTGTTTTTGGTGGTGCGAATTTATTACAGGCCATGTTTCCAGATATTTTTAGTACTGCGCCTTTAAAAACCCATTTCCACTGAGTTTAACTGATTGAGTCCACAGTTACAATTCCATTGTCCCCTTCAGGACTGTCCCACTGGAATTATCATTATTGTATGATTTGATGTTTGGACCGGCATACTCAACCTTTTGACCACTGTACACTCTGAATTGAACCTCATGGTTCATTTAATGTTTACTTAATATAAGTTAAAACTATCCTGTGTTATTCACTATTGTGACAGTTCCACTTAATCGGAATATGAGACCAAAACATGGCGAAATTCAATCGTTATCTATCCGCCATATTCTCGTAATTTGAATTCTCTACTTCATCCTTTTACGTGTATACCCCTCACCATATTCAACAGTCATCTACCGTGTATTGAGTGAACAGTAGTAAAAGAAAAAAAAAAGAAAAGAAAAACAAATAAAAAGAAAAATCAAGGAAGAATTGAACAACCGGAGAATTAGATATGGTTTAATCAATGGGCCTTAGACAATGTGGCGTTGAAATTCTGATGTGTGAAACCTAAAGAGATTATTGAGTCGCGATGTCAACAGTTTAAAAGAATAAAAGTGTTGAATTAAAAAAAAAACATTAATCCTTTTACATGCCGCGCGCACACACACACACACACACACAAAAAATATATATATATATATATATATATATATATATATATATATATATATATATATATATATATATATATCCATTCCGATAACATCCTGAGAAATCGACTATGGTGAGATTCCAACTTAAGTCTCATGGTCATAAAGCGAATGTTTCAACCACAATACGCCCAATATATATATATATATATATATATATATATATATATATATATATATATATATATATGTAATGGGTAAATTTATATATATATATACCGGATGTAACAGCAAAATTGTTCAAATCGTCTCACAGCAAAATTGTTCAAATCGTGTAACAGCAAAATTGTAGATTTGTTAGATTAAATTTGAAACGTTGTATCTTAGAAATGATTAAAGATATCGTACTGGAATTCTCCGATACTTTTTATAACACTACTGGACTCTAATGTGAGCAATAAGAATGTATAATTACTCTCCAAGCTTAACAGAAGAATCGTAATGAAATCGATCATAAACGAAAATGACATGTTTATCATTAATTAATCATAGGTAAGGATCAGAAGCTCATGAAGGATTGAAATATAGTTCTAATATATATATATATATATATATATATATATATATATATATATATATATATATATACACAAACAAAATTCCAGGATCATTTTACATCTTATTCAAGATGATCTTCGCCTTCTCTAACCTTCTAACATTCTTTTCGGAAGTAACACGGGTGTCTCATACGTTCCACGTACCATTACATTTTCAACTGCTTTATGGACTGTCATAGTTGAAACTCCTCTGTCACGTATCAAACATTTTATGGATTGAATCTTTTCTAATTGATCTCTTCAGCTCTCAGTTGAAATGATGATCCCTCTTCCTGTTGTGACTTTCTGTTCCAGTTTCTCTCTCTACTGTTCCCCATTTTTAAACTTATTCATCGCTCTCTTGATGGTTCTGGAATGGACTTTGAAGAAGGAAGCCAAAGTATGAATCCTGGTACCAATTACTGAAGATCTACTCAAATAGCTTCATGTCTCCCGTCCGCGGAATTCCCTTCCTATTACTTGTTTCCCCGATAGCTATAATCTCCAACTATTCAAATGTAATGTCAATCGACATCTCCAGATGTCCTGAACTATTCTCAGTCCTTTTCTTTATCCTTTCCTCCATCACGCCTCTATACTCGCTCCCACTCTGTAACCCCTGAGCCTTGCTTGGAGTGAAATGCTTATATATATATATATATATATATATATATATATATAGCCTGACGTGCTTTTACCGACTTCGCCACAGAGGAGCGTTTCGGTTAGCAAGGTCTATTTTACTGTTTTTAAACTACACTCTTCCATGATTCTCTCACGTAGATTCATATCTGCTCAAAGCGTATCTAAATGTAAACAAATGACGTCACACATTATGAAATGGACAAAATCCGACAATTATTTTAAGACATTTTTATGTTTATACATTATTTTTTATAGATACAAATATTTAGTATTTTAGGTTCGATTCCTGTCGGAGGACGCATATTTTCTATGACAATTTCTCGGACATTCAGGCCGGTAAATGTTGTTAATATTGTTTACTATAAACCGAGTATTTACTTAAATATTTGTATCTATCAAAAAAGAACGTATAGACATAATGTCTTAAAACAATTGTCGGACTTTGTCCATTTCATAATATGTATGTATGTATGTATGTATGTATGTATGTATATTATAATAGTTGAAATTATTAATTAAATCTGACAGAATTATTAAATACGGAATATCCAATTAAAATTTTTTTATTACATGTTTCGCTTTTTTCTTTAGCGTCATCAGAAATGTTGTAATGACGTAATCAGAAATAACGCAATCAGAAATTTCGTAATCAGAAATGGTGTAATCTGATGTTATCTATCAATTTTTAAATGCTCTGTTTTCATTGATTGTATAGACGTCTCTTGTATATCTCATCACATTTCTATTTGCGTTTGATTCTGTAAATATTTAACCTAATTTAAGTTTTTCTCAACAATTTTATGTATCAGGGCATTTTAATTGTACAGAGTGAAGCAATAAAACCTCCGATCTTTTAAGCAGATATTGATGTGTTGTCAGTGAAGCTAGGCAAGTGGTAATGGTGTCTCTATGTACTTAATGTTCTGCCTTTTTATGTCTCCTCTCTGTAGCTATATTCTACAGGATTTTCCCAAAATGTTTTCTCTTTACAAGTAACGGAGTCCACTTTCGTCTGCCTGCCTGACTGCGTCAGTAGGCAAAATTGTCACTAGTAGGCAGTACAGAATCCCCAAAGAGCTTCATGAAAGACAACGAACGAGTTATCGCCTGGGGTGTTGTTGGAAATGTTAGTGTTTACGGCTCTTTTTGATAATAAAAGAATATCGAGGGATTTCAGTAAATTCCGATCGGTATGTGGAGAAATTACAAAATTTTATGGAACCAAAACCTGAAAAATCTATTTCGGGTGTATGGGTTTGAATGGATTGAGCCCCTGCTCTCGCGACGAGAGGATAAATGGAGAGGGAGCTGTTTCCAGGGTACGTGATCTCGTTACGCGGTGACTTTCGAAGGCCTGCTGGCTCACATGATCCCTCCTCATAGGATCATTTTCAATATTGCTATCTGAAGTTGTCGAACTGAAGGCTTCTATTCGCTAAACAGTTACAGAAATGCCACTGGAAATTGTTCAGAAATTGGCTACAACAGAGAATGAGGAATAGAGATGTTAGTTTCGAAAATCTCATTTTCAAAATGAAGGTAACACAACCTTTTATTCCTGTCTTAGTAGTAAACACGACACATCTGAAAAAGTAAACCTGGTAATTGAGGTCGAAATGTATCTCCAGTCAGTGGTTAACTGGGACAAAAAATTGTTTGTAAATTTGAACGTTTCCAGAACGAAACTGCTTTCATTTAACCACCACAGAGAACCCTTTTTGTATGCTATCAGAATGGTTGATGCCAGATTCCAGGAGAGCGACACTTTACGCATTCTTGGCATCATGTTTTCCACTGACATAAAGTGGAGCGATTATATCGAATTAGCTGCTACGTCTACTGCTTGGAATGTTGGCACATTGTGTCGTGCCAGAAAACTTTTCTCGTTAGAATTCATCTTGCACATTTATAAATCTACCAGTTGTCCTTGTATTGAATACTGTTGTCATATCTGATCAGGTGTTTCTACTACGTATCTCGACGTTTTTGAGAACTGCTAATTTGTGGAAGAGAAGCATATATAGCTGGTCACTTGTATTCGTGGATGCCCGTCTACTCGGGTGGCTAGCTAGTCCCTATTGCAGATGCTTGCTCAGGCACATTTGTGTTTATTTAACACCCACATAACCCATCTGTGGTTTATACTGCAACTATGCTGAGCAGACCTTAGTTACAGTTTCTGGGAAAGAGTGTGTTATCTAGCATGTATACTTACCTGAACATTACAATATTAGTCTCTTCATGTCGAAGATCAATATCAATCTATCTATATTATTAGATCAATATACACTCTAACAATCTAGAGAACTGTTTTCAGCAGGTCTTATGCTTGACTTAAGGAGAGTATCACTCTACACCTTCTTGAGCTCATGTTTTTTCATTAACATGGAGTGACAATATCGAATCAATCGCTACGTCTACTACTTGGAAAGTTGGCTCAGTGTGTTGTGCCTGAACGTTTTTCTCCATCTTGCACATTTATAAATCTATCATTCTTCCTTTCAATGAGGACTGCTGCCGTATCTGCACTTGCTGTATATCGCGAGATTATTGACAAAATTCAAAGAAGGGTCTGCAATGTGATGATCCTGACCTGGCATATAGACTCGCCAACATGACGTAGTTCCCCTCTGTCTTTTCTACAAATATTGGCAACTCTTCTGTTTGATAACTTTTCCTTTCGTTCTTCGACTACAAGAATTTAAGCGTGTTACTAGATTAGCAACTAGGTCTCACCGTTTTGCTGTTGACCTAACTAAATACAATCGCCATTTCTATTCTAAACGTTTCTTTTTTTGCACTTCCTTTCTGTGGAACTCTCTTCTGATTTCTTGCTTTCCTGATGCCTATAATCTTAAATATTTTTTAGATGTTACATCAATCGCTATCTTCTGTTTAATTGAACCATGTTCCTACATTGTCATTTCCTGACTTCTCCTCACTCAAGTTTTCTAATTCACCTTCCTTTCGTGGACCCCTCCCTACGTCCTAGTGCCAATGTCACCTTGCGTGGGGCGAAACAAATGAAAACACTTCACTTTAACAATTTTAAAACGTCTTTCTAAATAAGCTTTTTCTGGCCTCTTAAGATTTCGACCTATAAAAAGTCGGATTTTTTTTGGCGGACTCTATATGACAAACATGGAGGATGTTGGGGGTTGGATCCCCTGATAAATGGTTGGATCTTCTTAAAGCATCGGCTTTACGAAGGTTAGCGATATAAAGACATGTGTACTTGTATGTGTGCGTGCGTGTGTCTGTGCGTGTATGCACCATATATCTTTATACTAGAGTCCGCCAGTTCGCATAGAGCAAGTTCATAGTATTGAGTGTTATAATGGGGGTGGTAAGAGGCCAAAGTAAGCAACAAAAATCCTCGAGTTTTTGATACTTAAACTGGCGCTAAGGCAAACACTTGTCTAATCAGATCAGAACACTGGGCTTCGAAACTGAGAGACCCAGATACCTACCCAATGGCTAGTCATTATTCTCTTTCCCTCTCTTCTAAAGATGTTCCGTTATTATCTTATCGCCAAACAGCGATTCTTGCAGACGGACAAAGTAAAAGAAAGAATATTTGAAAGAAAATAAACGCTCATTCTAATATGGCGTTAGACGCACAAATGTCTGACTAGAAAAATAATTATTCTCCTCTTCCCCTCTTTCCCTCTTCTTCTTCTTCTTCACTTTCTCCTTTCTTCTTCTTCTTCTTCTTCTTCTTCTTCTTCTTCTTCACTTCCTACTTTCTTCTTCTTCTTCACTCCCCCCTTTCTTCTTCACTTCCTCATTTCTTCTTCTTCTTCTTCTTCTTCTTCTTCTTCACTTCCTACTTTCTTCTTCTTCTTCTTCTTCTTCACTCCCCCTCTTTCTTCTTCACTTCCTCCTTTCTTCTTCTTCACTTTCTCCTTTTTTCTTCTTCACTTCCTCCTTTCTTTTTCTTCTTCTTCTTCACTCCCCCTTTCTTCTTCTTCTTCACTTCTTTCTTCTTCTTCTTCTTTACTTACCCACTTTCTTCTTCTTCATTCTTCTTCTTTTTCTTCACTTCCCCCTTTCTTCTTCTTTTTCTTCCTTTTTTCTTCTTCTTCACTTACCCCTTTCTTCTTCTTCACTTCCTCCCTTCTTCTTTTTCTTTTTCTTGTTCTTCTTCTTCACTTACACACTTTCTTCTTCTTCACTTCCTCCCTTCTTTTTCTTCTTTTCCTTTCCTCCCTTCTTCTTCTTCTTCATCTTCTTATCCTTCACTTTCTCCCTTCTTCTTCTTGTTCACTTACCCATTTTCTTCTTTTTCACTTCCCCCTTTCTTCTTCCTCTTCTTCACTTCCTCCATTCTTCTTCTTCTTGTTCTTTTTCACTTACTCACTTTCTTCTTCTTCACTTTCTTCTTCTTTTTCTTCACTTCCCCCTTCTTCTTTTTCTTCTTCACTTCCTCCCTTCTTCTTCTTCCTGTTCACTTACCCACTTTATTCTTCTTCACTTCCTCCCTTCTTCTTCTTCTTCTTCTTCTCCCTTTCTTCTTCTTTTTCTTCTACACCACTTCCCTCTTTCTTCTTCTTCACTTCCTCCTTTCTTCTTCTTCTTCTTCTTCACTTCCTCCTTTCTTTTTCTTCTTCTTCACTTACTTCTTCTTCACTTCCTACTTTCTTCTTCTTCTTCTTCACTTCCTCCCTTCTTGTTCTTCTTTTTATTCTTCACTTACCCACTTTCTTCTTCTTCTTCTTCTTCTGCACTTCTTCCCTTCTTCTTCTTCTTTTTCTTCTTCTCATTCTTCACTTACTCACTTTCTTCTTCTTCTTCATGTTCTTCTTCACTTACCCATTTTATTCTTCTTCACTTTCTCTTTTCTTCTTCTTCACTTCCTCCTTTCTTCTTCTCCTTCTTCTGTGCCATCTATTCTTAAGGCGTTGGATAACAGGTCCCAAAGAGTGTGTGTTCAATACCCGGTTAAGACAGTTGAGAACTTGCAGAGGGGAATTAACAGAAGATAACTGACATCCATTAAAAATGGTATATGGAACAAGAACAGTCTACCCCAGTGAGCGAAATAAAGGGTTCAGTTCGACATTCTAACCACCTGAAGGAGGCCGGAGCGTACAACGGCCGAAAAGTTGCGATAAATATGGCGACAAAGATGAGGACAATAGTCTGAATAATGTAAATAGTGTACATAATACCTCATCTCAGAAATATAGAGAGATACTGAAGATGGTTTGGTTTGGTTTGTTTTGTTTTACGGCATATCAACATCAATAGGTCATTTAAGGCCGACAACTTTTTTCCTGGTAATATTTTTGTTTTGTCAAAAATATATTTCTCGTAATATTTTTTTTCTCAAAATTGTATAGCTGGTAATATTTTCAAAAACGTATTGCGGGTAATATTTTTTCTTCAAAAATTTATTTCTGGTAATAATTTTTTACAAAGTATTTCTGGTATTAAAACCTATTTTTACACTTTCAAAATGCTTTTGACCTCAGTTTCGGGGTTAACTATTTGCCCATAGCTGTGACCCTAACAAGTGCTACCACCCCGAGTCAGGGTGGACATGGGAACACCAGCAATTAAGAGGTGGTTCCACGCTCCTCAAAGCCTCCTGATCAGAGGCCTTGCTGTTGGACGTAGTTTATCGTCTTACCCTGGACGCGGATGTAGTTTATCGCCATAATCAGGACGGTACAAACAAGAGGAATCTTTACTTAGCAATATCATAAAGAAATACACTATCCCAATTGACCTGAACAAAAAAATCAAATTATCTACTACAAAAATATTAAACAGGTAACCTTATCCCCAAAATAATAACACACCAGTAAAATAAAAAGTAGTTTGTTTTTGATTTTGTCAACTGCACAGAATAGTGGGGCCATTTGGGCATCGTCTGTGAGAAAAAGAGCAACATAATGCAATTGGCTACGAAATTTGGAAACAGCCTGTTGTACTGCTTGGCATTCGCCCCGGAAGCTCCAATACGAATATTTCAGAGTGTTTTGGTGTCAATCCGTGGACAGTGCAAAGAATTCGGAAAGAGTTGGATGAGTCTAATGGTGATTAAGACGGTACGGCAGCTAGGAAAACTCACTCTGATCGGTCTGAAAGAAAAGAACTTTCGAATTTGTTTGGTGAGAGCTTTAGACTCAACACAGGGGCCTAAATCAAGTGCCCTGAAGAGGTAGTGCAGCCCTGGCTCACTCTTGACCCAAGTAGCACTTCCACGGTGGCTACTGAAAGACCCTATGTCTAGCAACTAATCTCTGCACTATGTCACACAAGCAGGAGACCTCGGTCATGGTTGTCAGATAATTTCTGAGATGGCATTACCCCTTTCATCCGGTCACCTTACTATCCATATTGCAATTCACTTAATTATTATGTGTGGGGCGCAGTTGAGCGAGAGACTAAAAAAACTCCTTGTAACACCAACGATGAACTGAAGGCAAGGATTATGGCAACAAACACCAACTTAAACAAGGAGACCGTCCAGAAGAGATGCAGGAGATTACGAAGTCGTCTGGAGCCTGTGGCTGAAGCCAATGGCGATGTTATTGAATAAATTTACTCTATAGTATTTCGAGATATTTTTGTGTAATTTTGGTAAATATATCTGTTAAAATGAGATGTCAGATGTTATTTTTATTTTTTCGTAATAAGGATGACAATTTATTCATCGCACCATATATATATATATATATATATATATATATATATATATATATATATATATATATATATAATTGGTATATATGGAATGAATTCCAATAACCAACAATTACTATTCTTAAAAGAGTGCTCAATACAAAAGTAGAGCAGATATAATTATTATTTATAAAAATTATAACATAAGTATGTTATAAAATCACTACAAAAAATAGCCATTTGTGTCTCAGTGTCTTAAGCATCACTTGATAAGACACTGAGTGTGTTGAAACAAAATGGCTATTTTTGTAGTGATTTTATAACATACTTATGTTATAATTTTTTTATAAATAATAATTATATATATATATATATATATATATATATATATATTGTCATCCACAGACAGATTGTTTCACTGTATCACAGCTCTTCAGTGTAGTTAAACATCCGGTATATATATATAAACATTACCCTGAATATCCGTTTAGGTGAAACCTAGGTAAGTTTGCCTGGTTCCTTAGGATTATCTTACGTTTTGCTCTACTTAGTGTATTGAGCACTTTACGTAGTTGTCTTTTTGCTCGTTTTTTTTTTTTTTCTTTGGACTTGGAGCTTAAACACTGGACGATTGTTTTTCGTCTTGGTTTAATGTTATTGGTTCTTTCTTTTTTTATTCCCCATTTTTCCTCGGTAACCGATTTGTTCTACTGCAAGTTGAGCTATCCGAGGTTTTCCAAATGAGTACCACCATATATATATATATATATATATATATATATATATATATTATCGTCATCCACAGACAGACTGTTTCCATGTATCATAGCTCATCGGTGTGGCTAGACATCATGTATATATATATATATATATATATATATATATATATATATATATATGTGTGTTTTAGTTACCGATTTACAGGCTATTTTATGTATAGCTAGTTTTCTTAATGGGTGTTTGTTTGTCGTGGATTTCTCCAAGACCTATCGAACTTTTCACGTTTGTCAAAGGAATGCGTCAGCGTGCTGACTGTTTGAAATAATTAACCTTCTTAAATTGTATAATTTTCAGTTTCTCCGACATACATAAGTTTGCAATTTCTGCCTCTGATTCTCTCTATATATTTTATTATATATCATTTTTTTTTCTCACGGTGTTTTTCTCATTTTTCGTTCCCCTATATATTTTGTAAATATATATATATATATATATATATATATATATATATATATATATATATATATATATATATATATATATATATGCGTGCGTGTGTCATTGCCATTAATAATTTCCTTTTCGGCTATGATGGTCTATTTCTGTAAATATTCTTTTTCAAAATTTAACGAGCAAGGGGGGCTACGACCGATTTATAAAGTGAGACTAATTGTAGTTTCTACCTACGATTTTTTTTTTTTTAAAAATGAAGCAGATCCATTTCGTCTTCGACACATGTTCTCTCATCCATTTTTTTCATAAAATTAAAAGGATCTGGAGTTAAAATTAACATCACGAAGCGTCAGTTTCCTTTTATATTGCTCTTCTGAAATTGTGTTTCTTCGTTTTAATTGGACACTGAAAATCAAAAAGTAAAAGATTTTTTTTTATTTCCAAATATTGAAGAGTTTAGTTTTTCGTGATGATGAAGTGGATGCCTTCATTTTCGTAATGATTAGGGGTTATATATTGAAATATAGGGGTTATATATTGAAATATAGGGGTTATATATTGAAATATAGCGGTTATATACTGAAATATAGGGTTATATATTGAAATATAGGGGTTATATATTGAAATATAGGGGTTATATACTGAAATATAGGTGTTATTGAAATATAGGGGTTATATATTGAAATATAGGAGTTATATACTGAAATAAGGAGCATCGCAAACACGCATACACAGGCATACACACACAAGCAAATGTGTGTGAAATCAAAAAAAAAAAGAGGAGAAACAGTAATTATGCAAAAGATCAATAAAAACAACTGTAATTTTAAGGGAGTGAGTGAGTGAGTGATAGAGAGAGAAAAGAAGGAAATGAAGAGAAGGGAAAGTAAGAAAAAGAGGGAGAAAGCGCAAGAGACAGGAAGATAGAGAGGGTGGTTATGGTGAAAGGAAGAAAGTCGTGTAACATAAGAGATTTATAATTACAAACAAGTCTCAGTGGATTATCGTGAAAACTAAACAAGAAAAGCAAGGAAGGGTGGAAAATAGATATAGAACAGACTTAGATGCCCCACACAGCTGTGGAACAAAAACAAAACACCCGTAGAGAGGCCCTAAGCCACTCCAGTTGATATGCTATGGCGCACTGTGTTTGAAATGCGAGAGCGAAGTCGTGCATGTTCCCTTCGTGGTGGTCAGCATCTCAGGGATGTAATATGCAAATCTTAGATAAGATGTTGAATTCTTGTATATCAGTTATGTAAGAAATATATATATATGTTGTGGTAGGATCCACCTAATTTTCATAGTGGAGTACCGACCATATAAATATGGTTGGTACCGGGAAGAGAGGGAGGAATCAAGAGATTCAATCCAGAGACTCTGCCCGACTGCGACTCAGTCAACACTTTCTCCAGGAACGGTCTTACCAGGAATATACAAAAGACTATATGTAAATATTGTGTACACTTTCTTGTTTCAATACATTTTGTTCTAAGTACATTTTGTTCTAAGTACATTTTGTGTTGCATTATTATTCCGTGCATTAGTCAAGTTTCAACAATATATATATTGTCATTTTTATAATCCAAGTCATTTGCATTTAAAATATGTCCCATCATTATGGGACACCCTTGGTAAAAAAACATGCAAATGATAACAGCACAAATTACAATATGAGCACTGATAAAAAATGGTTGCTGAAGGCATTGGGAACCAGTAATAAGGAGTACCAGAGAAAAGAGATAATAACAATAAAAATTGCAATATGAGCTCAGGCAAAAAATTGAAATAATAAAAGCAAAAAATGCAATATGAGCACTAGTAAAAACGGTTGCTGAAGACATTAGGTTAATAATACCCAGAAATTCATACAGAGATGTCTTCAAGGAATAATGGCACAGTGGATACAGGCGTTAGTTAGATCCAGTGACAGGACCCAAAGATTGTGAGGTTAAAGCAGTGAAGAACTTTCAGAGGTGAATGAACAGGAGATAACTGACATCCATTAGACATGGCACATGGAACTAGAACAGTCTACCCCAGTGAGCGAAATAAAGGGTTCAGTTTGACATTCCAACTCCGGAGCGTACAACGGCCGAAACTTTGTAATAAACATGGCAACAAAGATGAGGAATTCCCATGTCTCAAAAGTACCTAATTCTGGTTCATCCTCAAGCGAATTTTGGAATAACTAATTTTGAAATTTACGGAGCTTTATAAGCATATACATTCATAATATTATGGATATGGAGAAAACCATTATTTTAATAACGAGCGATAGGTGTGGAATCATATTTAAAAAAAAATAATTATAATATAGGCTCTACTTGTGTATCGAGCACTTTTAAAAAAAAATAAAAACAAAAATACTAAAGAACTTCGGATTATTAACCTAACGGCTCTTTCCTATTTTTCCTATATATATATATATATATATATATATATATATATATATATATTGCTCTTGCTCCACGGGAAATGGTTTCTATGTCAGATTGTTGTCAGGGCGGGGCAAGGTAGAAATAAGATATGTACATTATGAGGATATATATATATATATATATATATATATATATCGGTTGACTCTGGACTGGAAGAGACCAAGATTGACATCCAAGATTGACAGAGAGACATCCGCTCGGGAGTTTGATTTTTTTCACAAGGTAACAGTTTAGGGGGAAAAGCTCAGGCCATTAATGACAACCTTTATAGGACAGGAAGGACAATAACTGAGATGTGTCGCCCAGAGATTATATAGCTGATAGATTTTTGTAGCAATAGCCTGTGTCACGTCTTGTCAGCCATTGAGATGTCTAAAGCAATCACTCTTGAGATGTTCTCATTATCAAGCGCTTCATTGATACTATGCGTGATAATAGTTAAGACATTAGCAGTGGATCTAGAAAAGCGAAAACCATACTGTTTGTCGCTCGGGGGATTTATTTTGATGAGGAGTTCAACAACTTTCTTTTGAATTATATCCTCAAAACTTTAGTTAATGACACCAAAGGAGTTTCTAGGGCGATACTGAGGCAAGGACAAGGGTTCCCCTGTGTTCTTGTACGCAGAGCACTCATCAAACACCTACCATGCAAAATATCTCTTTTTAAGGTAACAGTTAAACAGCTTCGCCAAAATTGAAGACTGTTCAAGGTTCTTGAGAAAAATTATAGCGGTTTTGTCCAGACCAGTGCAACCCCATATATATATATATATATATATATATATATATATATATATATATATATAAATAAATAAAAAGAAAGAACAGTAAGATAATGACCCATGTCCTTTGTACTTACATGAGAAACAATATATTACTAGGTTTATATAAAAAATAAAAGTTTACTAAATCAGTGAAATTAAGTAGCTAATTTTGCCGTCATTGTCATAAATATTACTTAAATAGTATTTAAAAAAAAAAAAATTGTAACCTAATAATTTACATACTTATACTTGATGTGATAATAATTCTACAAACTGTAAGGGATTCTAATTACATTTAATTGTTCTTAAAAGAAATATAGTATATTAAAAATTAAAAGTAAAAATATTTCAAATCGTAGTTAAATAAAAAGTATTCTAACCTACCCCCAAAAAAAAAAATCTTTTAAATATACGAAGGGAAAAAATGCCGTAAGAATTTTTGCCGTTAACAATAAAATTAAAAAAAAAAAATATATATATATATATATATATATATATATATATTTATTTGTGTGTGTGTGTGTATTTAGGCAGCAATCCTTCTTTCATGCACATTTCATTGAAAACGACAGACAAAGTGCTTTTATTTAGTTTTTTTTTAAACAATTTCTCCTATGATCTAATAGTTTTTTTCTTTTCAGATGATAAATTATATAAAAACTGTCCGAATTTTCTTTTTTTCCGAGCGCTTTTGGCTATACATTTAACCATTTTCAAGAATGAAATATTTTAACTATTCGTAACATATTTGTTAACAACATAAATATAATAGCATCATCTACATTCAAAAAAAAAAGGCTAAAAATAATGTAAGCCTTATCAATAAAATCAAAAGAAACAACATTGATAATATCAAATATGAGCATCGACACAATATCCTGACAGTGTTTTGAAAAATGAAAAGATTATATAAATACATACGTGCAACATCTAGGTATGAATTTCTGGTTATTATAAACCTAATGACTTCGCCAACCATTTTTACCAGTGCTCATATTGCAATGATAACAACAAAGTTGCAATATGAGCTCTGGTAAAAACATGCAATGATAACAGCAAAATTGCAATACGAGCACTGGAAATTCATACACAGATGTCCTCAAGGACACATGGCAGAGTGGATAAAAGTGTTGGTTCGATCCAGTGACAGGACCCAGATGAGGACAATAGTCCGAGTAATGTAAATAATGTACATAATACCTCATCTCAGAAATATACACAGACTATGCAACAAACTATTTGTTATTTAATAGTTAAAACATTTCATGCTTGAAAATGGTTAAATGTATAGCCGAAAGCGCTTGGAAAAATGAACATTCGGACAGTTTTTTTTATAATTTATCATCTGAAAAGAAAAAAATTATTAGATCACATGAGAAATTGTATAAAAAAACTAAATCAAAGCACCTTGTCTGTCATATTCAATGAAATTTGCATATATATATATATATATATATATATATATATATATATATATATATATATTGAATAAAAGACAGACCACGTTAAGATTCCATGTAATAAGCTATTTCACCATAACCCCTTTAACAGGGTTCTGGATCATCAGACTTTACTTCCAAAAGCTGAAATGAAAAATGAAAAGAAATTCACATGTTTTTTACGGACCTCATCAAGTATACGCAAAGTTAACGAAGTGAGGAAGTGAGGTGGGAGAGAGGATATGAGTGTGTCATATGTATCATTTTAGTTTCCTATTTTAACCCCAGTGTGTCGGCTGGATGTTGTTCAAATTTAACGCGTCTCGTCTCTAGATAAAGGTGGTTAAGGGGTGAGCGATAAGGACTACATTAAAGGAAGACGTTCCAACAACCTCCTCAGGTCTACCCATACGGATTACCTAAATTTGCATAAACTATATATATATATATATATATATATATATATATATATATATATATATATATATATATATATATATGAGAAGTAGAAAGTTCTCTTGTTCAGCTCACACTCCACTCCAGTCATTTGTACAATAGCGGTTTATGCTTTTTTTTGTCTAGTATTAGGTTTCCGGTTTCGTCTAAATTCAACTTCAACTCTACATTTCTAACGTCTCCACCTAAACTCTGAAATTTATACAATTGTTGGGTTTCTGGTTCCTGCTAAAACCTTATCTTTCAATTTCAGTAACCCCTCGTGTCTTAGAGGCATGATGGGCTTGCTTGGGAAGAATTGATCATAAGGTGACACATACAGGCAAACACACATACACACACGAGAGACACACAATACTATATATATAAATATGATAAAACTATGATAAAAATAGACCTTATTATGCAATAGACCTTATTATCCATTATCTGTCTATATTTCTGAGATGAGGTATTATGTACATTATTTACATTGTTCGAACTATTGTCCTCATCTTTGTCGCCATATTTATTACAACGTTTCGGCCGTTGTACGCCGCGGCCTTCTTCAGGTGCTTGGAATGTCGTACTGAACCCTTTATTTCGCTCACTGGGGTAGACTGATCTAGTTCCACGTGCCATGTTTAATGGATGTCAGTTATCAATTATCTCCTGTTAATTCCCCTCTCCACTGCCTTAATCGGGTATTGAACTCACACTCTTTGGGTCCTGTCACTGGATCTAACTAACGCCTGTGTCCACTGTGAGAGTGTGAGTTCAATACCCGGTAAAGGCAGTGCAGAACTTTCAGAGGAAAATTAAAAGGAGATAACTGATGACATCCATTAAACATGGCACGTGGAACTAGAACAGTCTACCCCACTGAGCGAAATAAAGGGCGACAAAGATGAGGACAATAGTCTGAATAATGTAAATAATGTACCTTATTATCCATAATGAATCACTGACCAGCATATATAAATAGTTAATCTAAAGCCAACACATGTGGCCTGAAGATTGCATGGAAACATGAAGCAGACTGTCGCCACTTGGTGTTGACGTTAGAGTCATATATATATATATATATATATATATATATATATATATATATATATATATATATATGCCGGATGTAACAGCAAAATTGTCCAAATCGTGTAACATCATGGGATAATTGCCCATCCTACAAAATGTTTAATATCTAAAAATTAATATATATGAGTTAGAATCAATTATAGGTCAAATATTGATCGGAATCCCATTGGTTAATCAGGTTTCAGGTGCATTCGACTTGTTAAACAAACGTTAGTATAAATTATGGTTTTCCGAATTTAATTAGAGACGACATGCACTTTCGAAGTTCCAAGAAATTAACGGCTTCCAATCCTTACTGAAAAACCGTAAATATTACTTGATGCAAGTAAGTGTAAGTTAGTGTTTAATAATTCTAGTTTGGGCATGTGGGATTCAGATGATAATTTATATTCGTAAATATGTTTATCTATCTATCTATCTATCTATCTATCTATCTATCTTGTCTAAAACCTCTCGGAACTGTTTCTCAACAAAATATTTTGTTAATGAACTTTAAAAAATGTATTTTTGGGAATAGAATTTTTAAAAGTGCGGTACGTTTGAATAATGTTCCATAAATAAATATAACCTTTTAAATTTTACATTTAAAACTTCTCTGCATACCAAAAAATTTATAAAAGAATTTATAAAAAAAGCTTCGATCATTACGAACAGAAGGGAATATTTTTAATCAGAGAATTCAATCAGGAAAATAAGTGCATATTTTAAATTACTAAATTTATTTTCGAAATAATAATGATGATATATTTTATTATTATTATTATTATTATTATTATTAAATCAAAAGAAATAATAATAATAATAATAATAATAATAATAATAATAATAATAATAATAGGATTCCTGAAGGACATTATCAAAGAAATACAAAAAAACAAGTAAGAAAAAACTTTACGAAGGGCTTTACTAATTGAAATATGGCATTTGTCCAGGTCCCTGGGGATTGTAACATAGACAACAAAGGAATTTGAAAAACTATCAAAATACAAAAGACCTAAGAAATTGAAATAACAAAAAATATGGAAATTGAAAAACAAGAATAATACCAGTGGTAAGAAGATGACTTGGAATTATAAAAATGGAACAAAACAACACATTGAAAGAAACTAATGAAACCTAATAATAATAATAACATAAGAAAAGAATAATTATTAAGTTACAGCAAACACAAAATTCAAGGAGAACTTGTTCAAAAAAGATTAAATAAATAACATTATGAGAAACTCATCATCGAAGATAAAAAAAAAAAAAAAAATTAACATGAAATGCACTGATTGTCTGAACAACACACACCACGACCTGATAATAATAATAATAACAATAAGGTAATTTAATAATAATGATAAAATGTAATATAAATACTTCTAGTGTAGTGATGTTTTGTTTCGTTGAGTGTCCAGTTTTTTTTTAACGCATATGAAATTTTGTTATTTTTACTAATGATGATGAATTTTTGATGATTATTATTATTTAATATTTGGTTCTCCTTTAAATAATAATAGATTAATCAATTATTTAAGGGATTCATATCCCTTAGTTTTCAAGCCCATGCAAAAAAAATTACAGGTAAAAAAAATTTCTACGATGTTCTTTCTACATTTTTTTTTTTTTTTTTTTTTTTTTTTTAAAAAACGCTTTTTCAACGATTTATTTTTTTTTATCATTTTATGAATTTATGAAAGAAAATGCAATCTTTCTAAGAAGGAACCTGGAATTTCCCTGGGATAAAATTTTTAAAACGTTAGACAATCAAATGTAAACTTTTTTTTTTTTTTTAATAAAATAATAATAATAATAAAAATAACGGAATTTACATTTAATATTAATAATAATGAATAATGAAAAGAAAATGCGATTTAACTAACATATCGTGGAATTAACATATGGCAATAAATTATTTTAACTTGGAACAAACAATAAACTTTTTTTTTTTTTTTTTTTTTTTTTTTTTTAAACTGCATGAAGAAGATGAAATATCGTTATCATCAACCGAACGAAAGATCAAAGATTTAGGAAAGAAACTAATGATAATAATAATAATAATAATAGGAGTGAATGGAAGAAGAATAATGAACGATTACAGACGGAACCATTCTGTAAAAACAAAATTCAACGTGTAGACTTTGGGTGGACTTTTGTTTACAAAAAGATTAAATAAATAACAGTATGGCTCTTCCAGTGGATAAGCTCATCTCCTCAGGAGGGAATATTATCGAAAATGTCAAGGAAAATACACAAAATGAACTTCAGGTTTACACAACCAATAATCACTAATGATGGTTTTTTCCAGCTAATCCTAACTGTAAATTGCTAAAATTCTGTGAAGGCAAAGTTGATTGTCTGAATTGGAAGCAAAGAAATCACTCGCCAAACAATGATAATGGCGATGATGGGCAAACAATAATAATAATAAAAATAAATAATAATAAGAAATAATAATGATAATAATACACAGAGGCTGAAATTAATGAAATAAAAAGATTAACAAGAATAGATGAACCAACAAAACATGAAAAGGACGGAAGACCACAAAAATAAATTTTATTGACATGGCAGTCACTGTAGAGTGTAATGTATAATTGAAAATCTTCAAAATACAAGAACCTTGAAATCGAAATCTCAAAAATGTGTTTCATGTGGACATTAACAATTCCAATTGTAGTTGGAACCTTCGGAATAATTGGAATGTGTCCGATAGACTCATTGAAGAAATTCCTGGTAGTCCAAGCCTTCAAAAATATGCAACAAAAATGTACTCAGAAGTAGAGCCCACGAAGAGTTTTATCTATGTAAAATATATGTGATAGTTTTTTGTTTTTTCCCCTCAAAAATGCTCAGTGGAAAATGTCATGATGCCATTTTCTGAACTTAGTTCTCTTATTTGGACCCAAAAAGTAATGTTTATAAACCAGAAATAAAAGGAAAATAAAATAAAATTAATGATAAACAGCTACAATGAACATCACCCTGAATCTGTAGTACAAGGGAGGCTCAAGTTATTACCATCCGAAAAATTTGTCCGTCATCAGAGATCGAACAATGCAAGCTATTCATTCAGACATTCTTATCAAAGTCAAAAAAGAAAAGTGTACTAAGTCACAAAAATATCACCGTGAAATATTTTGAAAACTAAACATATACAAAGACGTAGAGATGGAAAAAGAAAAAAAAGACAGGAATAGAAAAATTAAGCTGTTCATGACGTGGTGACAGGACCCAAAGCCAAAGTGCAAGAGTTCAATAAACCCGGCATGGATCAGTGGAGAACTTGGAGACTACCCAAAATAGGAGATAACTGATAACTGACATCCATTAAACATGGCATGTGGAACTAGAACAATCTACGCCAGTTTAAGCGAAAGAAAGGGTTTAGTTCGACATGCCAGCACTTGAACAAAAACGTTGCAAAAAGAAGGCTGACGGAGAAGACAACGACCGAAAACGTTGTGGAAAAATCATGGCGAAAAAGACAGGAGATTATCGTAAACGTTCGAATAATGTAAATAATGTAGTCTTTAAAGTATGTAATACTTCATCTCAGAAATATAGACAGATACTGAAAGGCCGAAACGTTACCTCAATAATAAAAATGGCGACAAAGATGAGGGACAATATTCGAATAATGTAAATAGTGTACATAGTACCTCATCTCAGAAATATAGACAGATACTGAAAGGCCGAAACGTTGTAATAAATATGGCGACAAAGATGAGGGCAATAGTCTGAATAATGTAAATAGTGTACATAATACCTCATCTCAGAAATATAGACAGAAACCCACTCTTCGCTTGCTCCTGGGTCATTGGTTATGGCCCGGCTTGAGGCTATAAAGCAAATGCTGGTGAAAAAGATTTTTTTTTCAAAGATAATAATCACAGATTTGTTTGTCTCTTTTTTGCTTCTAACCAGTTGGATATGTCTTCAACGGGCTGACACACTGTGCATCACCGTTCATAAATGCTTTTTTGTGGGGAAGCATCCTGACTGGGTGATGAGAGGGTTGATTTTTTAAAAGTTTGATGTATTAGACAGCCTGTCAATATGTTGCACACATTTGGCCGGGTGTCATGTACCTGGTTTACTTTTAATCAAACGAGTATAGCTAAGGTATCAACATATTAGATATACTCGTATTAACATACAGTTGCAACATTATTAAATGGAAGATGAATGACATTAAAAGATTGGACGCCAAGACCAGAAAATGCTTACCAAAATGAGAATGCATCAGCCGAAATTAGATTAGAAATTTGACAGGCTGAACGTACCAAGAGATTTAGGAGGATGAGGTTTCATCTAACTTGAACTAACTCTAAAATCTACAACAATCCGATTGGAAACATACCTCCCAAAAATCCAATGACCTTCCCTTGCAAATAATAAAACACCAAATCCACTTCATTAATAAAGAAGCTGCAATCTTCAAGAAATAACTTAATATAGATGAAACCCTACCAATAAAAAACGAAGCGAATACCATTTACGCCAAACGAGTAAAACTGAAAGTAAAAAAAAAACTTGGCCAAATGAAATTACAAACTGGGAGGACAAGGTGTTGCATGGTAAATACCTAAAAAAACAAAATAAAAAAAACAAAAAAACAAACAAAAAACAAAAAAAAAAAAAACGAAAGAAGCAAAGATAGACCAACAGAGAACACATCAGTAGCTGAGGAAGAGGGCCTAATTATTGCAGCTCAGGACCAAAGCCTCACAACCAGACCTTGGTTAGGTTAGACAAGCTTTTGTGTACCTAGTTAATGTGAATAAGTGTTGTTCCGGGCCTGAGATAAAAAAAAAAAAAAAAAAATTTTTTGGTTATGATCCAAGTTGAGATTCCCAACCTCCTCATTTTGTTTTTTGGCCCCATTTTATCTTGACTGAGATAAGCTTTTTTAATTTCCCATTCCAGACAGTATATATTTTTTTCCTCTTCCCACTCCAATGGGCAGAATGACAGCGGCCTCTGTTTTTTGAAAGGCTTGGACGGGCCCCTAACGAAATCTCAAGTTATGTTTAGTTTACTTTGTGTTCATGTTTAGTTTGTTATTGGGTTCATCTCCCTTCCCTCTCATTTTTCATCTTTAGATTTTTATATATAATTTATGATCATTAAATTTTTATGGTATGGGGCGCGTTTTGTAGCCCCTCGCCTCTCTTGAGAGGATGTGGTATTATGGTGTAAGGAGGATTGATTGGCGACGTACGAGATTTTGTGGTGAATGTGCAAATTGTAATGAGTGAATGGGTCGCGAATCGAATTAGTTAGGTATAGGATAATTTAGTGAGGACCAGCCTCAACCCCTCCCCTTTTTCGGCCTTGTGTCATAATTGTATTCTTATATACAATAAATATCGATATAATGGAAATAAAGCTTGCCGCTTGTATCTGAGGATGTCTGTTTGTGATGTGGCTATCAAATCTGTTTGATAAAACTGTTTATGTAGGAGAGAGATAGGTA